AAAAAAACCCTGTGAAAGATCAAAACTTGAAAACCACCTGGCTCGTCCCAGCTGTGCCAGCAACCAATCAGTCCTGGGCATGGGTTAGACTGACACCTTAGTGTGTGCATTAAGCTGGCAGTAATCCACAGCCATGCGGTAGCCACCAGACTTCTTCTCAACCAGGACTGGAGCACTGGCATGCTGACTTTGGCTAGGGCGGATGAGGTTCTGTGCCAGCAGGTCGTGAATGCAGTTGTCTATGATGGCCTGCTTCTTGGCATTCACTGGTCACAGTGAATGCCAAGTGAACAGGTGGGTTGTCTCCCGTGTCTATGCAATGCTCTGCCAGGGTTGTGTAGCCCGGGGTGGTGGTGAAAATTTCGCTAAACTCTTCTAAAACGTGTTTCATGCGTGGGTCTAGGTCCGACGAGTGGCCGGGAATGATCACATTGCAGGCTGCAGTCGCCTCCAGCACACTGGCATCGCCCTCAGCAAAAATGCAGCGCAGACTGTCTCCAAAATCATCCACTGCCTCCGGCTGTTCCCTAACGGCCTTGAGAAAGAGCACAATTCTTTGTGGTTCTGTGCCGACAGTCCAGCCACCAAGTGACACGCCCAGAGAGATGCCACTCACTGTCAGGAAATCCCTACTAAAAACAAAATCACGGCACAGGTCAGGAACTGCACAAAAACTGCTGTCTGCGGCAACCGGCAGCCCACTCGAACTGGCACTTTAGAGACATGGTTGACTGCGACCAACCTGATGCCAAACACAGCACGCGTACGTCTGCCTTGGGTTTGGCTCCAGAAGCTTGGGCCGCCGCTGCAACGTGCGGTCCGAAGAAGATTACACTTGGGCCTGTGTCTGGCAGGGGCGTGGTCTGTACTGGAGGCGACGCCAAGCCCGGTCCATTAGGCTGTCGGCTTGTAGGAATGCCCCTCCACCAAATCTTGCAGCTGAGGGTGCATCTGCCTCAGTCTGCGCTGCACCTTCTCCGCTTCGGAGATCTCTTCCTCGATGCGGTCGTAAAACGTAGCGATCGCATAAATAAACGCCTTCAAATTCTCTTCCGGGTGCTGCATGCGCTGTTCGAGCTCCGCCTTCAGGCGACGCTTCGTGTCAATCGACGAGAACTCGGAGCGGGAGGTGGCAGTGAATTGCTCCCACGAGTCTAACCCGCGCACGAACCGCCACCACAACTTTGCGCTGCCCTCGAGGGCAGCCAGTACCACGTGAGTCAGTCGCTTATCCGCGGCGACCCGCGTCATGAGGCAGAAGTTCTCCAGGCGTTCAAGAAAATCCTCCGGCGACTGCAAGTCTCTAACACCGAAGTAGCGCGGGAGTTGCGCAGCGGCGAGCCGAGGCGCAGAGTCGTCAGTGGCCCGAGGGAACGCGCCAGTGTTAGAAATCACAGTCCATGCTTCCACGTGCGGAGCTGTGGGCAGCGGCGTCACCATCACTTGATCGCGCACGACCGCCGCCATTCGCTTGCGCTCCATGGCGGAGTCGTCGGTGCCCAGCAACAGCTCTTCGACGAAACCTTGGAGCCTAGGCTTGTGGTCCGCTGCTGTTGTCGGGCCTGAAGCCATCCCGGACGAGCCACAACTTGTCACGCGCTAACCCTCTATCGCGCACAACACACCACTACTCTTGCCACTCTCCCCAACCAGGCCGAACTCCCCTCTTCCCCACACACCCAACCCCCCCAACTCCCTTTCCCAATGATGATGATGGTGCCTTCATGTAGTGCCCTCTCTCTGCCAAGTCCCAATGATGATGATGCCGTCACGCAACGCCCTCTTTCGGCCACCCTCACAGCTTTCGGGCTCTCAATGTGTTTCTCACTGTTCAAGTGACAAGAGCATACTCCCTCCCGCATTGATGACACGTCAAAACTCTTCCCACATAGCTTACCCTTTGCCTGATGCAAGCTTGATGGATCCGGTGCAATCAACTCTTTCTAAACAGCAATGCATAACCAAGATGGCTGGAATTCGCACTTGCACAGCATAGTTCCACCATAAGCGATGCAACTGCGAATAGCCGTACACACTTATACAGTCTCCACCAAAAAGCCAAGCTTAGCTCAGTCCTTGCTGCTGTAACCACATGAGCGCTACCACAACACTTCGATATGGCTAGAGAAACGAATTGCATTGAATAGTTTGTTGGCTTGAAAGAACATAGTTGCCAGGTGTGCAAAAAAAATTCCACTAAATTTCGGCTTAACCAACTTCGATTGGCGAAATTCAAGGACATTTAAGGACCTCAAACAAGTTTAAGAGTTTCCAAGGCCTTGAAAATGCTATTTCGAAATTCAAGGGTTTTCAAGGGTTTCAAAGACCGCTATTAACCCTGCCAACTGACTACTTATGCATGTGAAAGTACTGTGACATCCCGAACACCCTATTTCATATGATATGGGGATGCAGACAAAACACTGGAACCGCTACACTGATTGAAGGGTAGTGGGAGACCAAGTTATTGGACCAACACCTGAAGAATCGGTGAAAACTCGTTCAACAGGTGCTGGTGATGGCGAAGGCTCGCAACTACCCGTAATAAGGTGGCCACTCACCTTGGGCACATAGTGCCCCTGCTCAAAAAAAGTTAAATCTCTCTCTCTCTCGTTCTGCTCAGTTACAGTGGGAACTGCTTTCTTCTTTTTCTCTCCCTCGCCACGCTTTTGTTGGCAGTGCAAACGAAAGAAATGAAATGTCGTTCTGTGACACACTGGCAGTGCCATGGCACAGCCAGTGTATTGAGTTTAGAGTTCATCACAGAAATGAATGACCTATTTTCTATAAAAGAAGTAAAAAAAGCAATTCTGGGTAAAAAGTGCTGCACAAGTGACCTGACAATGACAAAAACATATCAAAATAAACAGAAGGTAGTGGGTGCTGAAATAAAGGTATCAATTTATGAAAATAAATGTAAAGAAATAAGACATCAGAAATTTGAATAATATTTATATTTACAAGCAGTGTCTGTACACATAGAGGAAAATATCAAATTTATTCACACTGAGAACTGGTCGAAATCAGTTCTATGTTACAAACTCCGTAAATCCGTAAATACGAATACACTCTTTCGTTACATGCAAAAATGGTTGTTTTTTCATATGACTCAGGAAGATCGTTTTTGGTAGTTTCAAAATTATTCCAGCACACACAGCAGCCCACAAAATTTGGCACAATGAAATGCTCTATCCAACAGGTATATGTTGTGAAGCAACTAAGATATTTTAGAATGAATAAAAATGTCAAAAGTGTAGAATTTTCGGTCCCCAGCTGGAAAATAGTGGAATAAAAAAACACTGTATAAGTAAAAATATTCAAAACAAAGATACTTCAGAACATACGTTTTGTAGATAATGAACCCAGAAATGTATAAAAAATAATGAATGTTGTACAAAAATGTTTCTCTTCACATAGACAAAGGAAATCAGAACTGAGGTGCTGCGTCATTGCTCGTGCCATGCGGTGAAGCGTTACATGGCTTTTGTGAGACACAAGGGTACTCGTACACTTTTATCAGCAAATTGTTGTTGTGTTGCGATAGAAGTCTCTAGGTGTTTCAATATAGATGGATACCCATGATGTGAATAATCCCTCTATAAATGAGATGTCCAATGAACTTTGCTATTTCATTTAACGTCGCCTCTTTCCATGAGCCACCTCTCTCCACATAGGTTAGCGTTCCAATAAATGCATCCAAGCAAACTTATTTGCATTTTTGCAGATATTGTATTAAAGAAAGAATAATATCGCGCACAGTTCACGAAGGTTTCACACTGCTCCGCAGCCAGGAACAAGATGTGCTCGGAGGGCTTTATTGTGATAAGGAGAAGCTCTGTAGCCAGTGTCAGCACACTGTGGCCCAGCGAAGTGTGAACCACGCATGTAACTGAGTAGCTAAAAGATTTGGCACAAAGGTCAGAAGCTATGCACACTTGCGGCAGAGGAGAAAACTTGAGGATGTAAAGAAAACAAACCCATGAATGGCTGCGGATGTTTCAGGTTGACACAAAAGATTTTCGCCATAAAACTTGGAGCTGAGATACTGTCATTCTGAACTCTAAGCTCGTCTTCACTCAATGCAGAGGGGGTTGCAAGACAGTTTCGAGCAGCGCATGTGTTTTGCGGCGCTGGCACGTACCCATGCGCGTGTGAGACGACGTCATAAGAGGGAGTAGTGACACTAGATGCAACCCTGTGTCTAATATGATGCAAGCAAAACAAAAGGCGCTGGAAACTGTCAGAGAAGGCCACCTCGACCCTTTAAACACGCGGCAGACCTCCGTAAATATTTCTTGTACATTTTTTTCTGGCTTCTAGGAACAGCTCTCTACTCAATATCTGGTATGAATTGTTGGCAATTATTACTGCTCAACATAGTCGAATTGCAAAGCCGACACATTTTATTGACATTTGGCTTGCAAAGGTTTTTTTTATTACAGAACTTCAATGTTATTGTAGCACAATCACGAGGGGCAGGCACTTTTGTCAAACTTGCCAGCCTAGTGTACTTTTCCTACAATACATGAGTATTGGTTCGCGCAAAGGTTTGTCAAAAATGATTAATCACTATGTTGCCAAAATTGGCAAATTCAAATTGGTCCTGAAAGTTGAGTGGCTGGACTAGAAATAGCTGGGCGCACGAGAAGAAAAGTTAATATGCCGTAATCGATGATCCAAAAGTGTCGATCTCCAGTGATCGATCTTTAGCATGGTAACAAAAGAGTTAAGAAAATTTTATGGATCTAACAACATTTGTCAAGTTATATGTATGTGCTCCATGTGAGCACTTTGAAACGTCGTGAGCCTTTTAATTCACTTAGTAAAAGCCGAAAAGTGAATTAAAAATAGCTGTACCCTTTAGTACATATGTACTTCCATTATTTGGGGCAGTAACTCTATCACACGCTGCTTCCATTAGCTGGAATAAAGTTGAATATAGGTCAGATGAGACTATCTGCCAAGTAAACAGGTATCATTGTACGAAGGCATGCACTTACCGCTTCCGTGTGAACTGGGTGAACGGCGAAAAGCAGAGCAGCAGTCACACTCGCTTTCAGAGGCACTGCGGTGGAGCAGACCCTGCAACAGACAAACATCTTTTGATGAAGCTCTCCAACCTTCACAGAAGAATTTGAAGAGGTTCATCACATATCACCTCGGGCGCCATTTAGAATGCACTGGCTTCAAATGTGTCAAATTTCTATGGGATAACTGCAAGGGATGCAATTTTATATCTAAAGATACCAATTGAATGTATTGTTCTGTTCGAGTAAGTAAGCGTAATTCGAGTACAACTAAATAATTACTTATTCTGCGATCACTAATTCCAGTATAACATCGAAGAACATAATCACTGATCTCAAAATACGTGGAAAATTTGTTAATGTTGGCATATATTTCGAGCAAGAAAAAACCCGTGGCCATCACGGTAAAGACTAATTCACACCGAAGGCTGTGAGTGAGCGCACTTGTTCAGACCGCATGCCTTCTTTAGAGAGGAAGCCAGTGCAGAGCGCGTGCGTGGCACCAGCAAATTGAGGAAAAAGGTGCTGCACTGGTTTAACTCGTGCAGCCGGTGCAGCCAATTCGAAGAGACCTCAAGCATATGCTTAGCTCACTTCGCTGCAACGTGTTCAGGTGCGTTAAAGTACCTACCAAAATGGCTCTACAAAGAAAATTTGCCCCGTGTCCTACATGCTTGCCGCAGGTAAGCTTCTGTGCTTTGCGAAAGGAACGGTTTTATTATAGTTTTTTTTTTTTTCAACTATCGGGAAGCATGACACAGCTCACAATCAATGCATGAAGTGTTCGTGTAATGAAAAACGGCTGGTGAAGATTCAACAACAAATGTTAAGTGCGATTCCACATCATGAGAAAGCCATGTCGCTGCAAATCTGACTGTTAATGTTAACATGGGCTGTGATGTATGTGTAAGAGGCCATGCTACGGCATCGTAGCACACATTCAGAATGCTGGAAGTGAAAGTACATTTATTACATAGCCCTAAATTCTCGCTTTCAATTCCTTGAGCATTGCACACTAAATTAATTAAACGAACAAAGTTGTTGAAACGGCATTAAATTTCAGTGTCACTCAATGAAGCGACCCGATTTTATCGTACCACATGAGAGTTCCGAGATAAAAACTATGATTTAGTGTGTGTATTTCGAGCTGCATTACTTTAGACATACCCATTTGGATTTCTGTCTGCAGAGTGGAATCAGTTGGGGTGCCCTGTGGTTGACAAGATGCCGCACTGCCGCATACCGCACTGCAAGTCTTCGAGCAAATAATGGACGCTGGTATAGCTGGCGCAGGGTTCCAGATCAGAGGGGGTGAAGGTTCATGGCAGCATCCCCCCCATTCCCTATAAGGTTGATGTATGGGGCAGATTTTGAGCCCCCCCCCCTCTTTCCTGTAGGTGGCTGGGAGTGTGCCCACCCCGTGGTCAATGTACGAAGAAGAAGACCTGGTCATTCCGAATGCCTTGAACTAAGTATTAGATGCGTTCCTTGTCAGTAATGAGAACTGGACAGGGAGACACGATCTTGAATTTTGCAAACGCATACTCCTGCAGGCTCTTCCAGCGTTTAGTGTGAGGGCTGTGACCTTCTGTTGCCACGGTATCATCGAAACCTGCTTGCCGAATCGTTCTTGGAGTCCTGCTTTCCAGATGGTCCAGGTGGTAAGCCGATGGCCTTTTTAGGCACGCCAGTCTGCTGTGACTCTACGAACCCAAGTAACCATGGATACCCATTATGAATACAAATGTTTGGCCATATGGACTTGCAACACGAATGTCCGACCAGACACTAGGTTTTGAATGTTGACTGGCTGTCCATATAAGGACATGCCAAGAATATGTGCATTTGCTCCTCAAATATTGTAAAATTAGAATGTAATGAAATGTATAGATCTGCGGAATCTCCTGTGAAAATCTTGTAAAATATTAAAAATTCTACTATAAAGTTCATTCAAATTCCGGCCCACGCATCCGGTCTCAGGTAACAATCTGGTTGATTCAATATGTGTATCGTCATAAGAAACAATGTATTTAGTGTTATTATTATCGCATGTTAACTGACAAAATGCGGATCAAGTGCGTCATAGCAGTCTTCATGTGGGTAAACTTTCATGTTTTTTTCTTGACACTTCTCAACAAGCGGTGCATCGCAGTTGCTCAGATTCCTCGAATGCACATGTCATGCTAGCCGTGCCCCTCTGGATGCTTTGGGAGAAAATGCACACCATTGTGTCTATTGTGCTGAAACCTGCTTGACCAGCAGTGTGCACTAAAGAAAGCAGCATGGAAAAGAAGGGTGTTCGTGTCGCGTCGTACGTATGTACATGAGCCAGTCTCTGAGCAGCAGAAGGGCGATTTTAATTTTTTTTTTTTTCAAAAAAGCCCGTGTGGACATCAACAGCAACATGTGAAGTTACAAAGGATGACTTTTCTACAAGAAACACAGAAACATGGCATGAGCCCACTACTGTTTTAGGCAGAGATTACCGCGGCAAGCAGAAGCAACACCGCTCACTCACACGGCACAGATAAGGCCACGGGTTACATAACCGTTTTTTTATGTCTCGTATAAGACATTAATCTGTTCTTATCATGCGTTATTGTCCATCATTTGTATAAGCCCTGCTAATACGTGGCATATTTCCAGTTCTTCATAGTTCTTCATTTGCTCGCATATTCCTTGCTAATAACCGATATAAGAAGAGCACATGGTCAGCGCCTGTGCATTTTAGAAGCACGTGCTAAGCCCATTAGTTTTTCTCCTGTGCTTGTCTGTGTGTATGTTTTGCAGTTACTAAAATAACATTGCTATAAACACGTGCATGTTGCTAATAATTTAATAAACCCAGAAAGAAGCAATTGCTGCCGCCTAAGAAGTCATCACACTTCAAGGCAGAAGGGCATTGAACACTGTCATCTTAGAATACTTATACACTTTCACAAACAAGGCTGCAGACTGTGAGTTATGTGCTTCTTAGCCTTGATATATGATGATAATAAAGGTTCGATTATTCTTGAAAGCCCTCTTGGACTTTTTTTTTATTGGCATGATCTAGCCGCTGTGAAACGTAGACCTGTTTGAAAAAGGGGCGTGGCACCATTTCGACTATGACTGCCTCGCTCACGCGGATTCTTTTGTTGGTGCAGGTTCTCATCACTTCAGTTTCCTGCCATTGCTTTGCAAATTGGCAGGATGTATCTTGGGAAGCTGCGTCTTCGGCTGGCAATTCTTCCATAGCCTATTTTTCTTGGGAAGGCATCGAAGGAGGCAACGACTTATGCGACGTACAGATTATCATCGCTTCTCCTGGACAATGCCCGGTACTAGTCAACGAACCCTGGAACGTCACTGTGCATAGCTACCGCCTACATATACATCGACATTTCGATGTGCCTCTGGGGGGTGGCACCGGCTCGACTATGACTGCGTCACTCACGCGGATGCTTTTTCTTGTGCAGGTTAGTCTGAACGCCGCATTTTGTACTCATTATGTTTTTTTTTTTATTTTGCCGGTGCCACCCCTGTGCTTTTCGATAGTGTAAGGGCACATACTTGTCATTCGCGACCCATATATTGTAGATGCTATCGGTTCAAGCTATTGCGCTGTTTTGCATTTTACTTCTTATTTTTACTGATATGCGGGAATGTTGAGACTAACCCCTTCCCAACAATAATATTCTTAAAGAGCTAGTTGATGGCCAAAAATAAATTAAGAAAGAACTGGGTAGTATTGCGAAACAAGAAGCCAAAAGCACGTCTGCCGTTTCGAGCCTGAATGAACGTGAGTAGATTAGAAACTGCACTCTCTGAACTCAAAGATTTGCACGGTGCCGTAACGGAAGTCAAACAGTCATGCGAAGAGCAATAGGCCCAAATAAGGTCGCCTGTTGACAAGGTTGATAAACTTGAAAACCGTAGTAGGAGGTGCAACTTAATATTTTATGGTGTGCCAGATGACCAAGAACACGAAACATACACGAAAAAGTTAAGAAGTACATAACAGAAATTTGTGAAATGAAACTACACTCTAATAAAGTTTTCATAGACAGAGCACATCGTCTTGGAAGGTACAGTCCGAACAAAAAGAGTCCAATAATTGTGAAGTTTCTCTCGTGCAAAGACAAGCAGTTAATACTTTCAAATACTAGAAAATTAAAAGGCACATCTATTAGCATATCGGAAGACTTTTCAGAGAACATATGCAGAACGCGTAAACACCTTTGGGATTACGCGAAGAAGAATCAAGGCACAACTGACAAAGTAAACCTTAAGTTCACGACTCTTTATATTATTAAAGCAAGGTATATCTACGATACTGCCCTGGACCAGGTTGTGCGGGCAGATTAACAGGATTCAAAAGCAAATAGGTCGGTTATTTCTTTTCTTATTCTTAATGGCAGAAGTTTATGCAATAAAAGTGATGAATTTTCTAACCTTGTTGAAATGACAAGTCTGACTATCATTCTTCGATCAAAATTCTGGCTTGATGCAGATATTTCTGATAAAGAAGTATTTCCAAGTGGTTTTGTTGGCTATCGCAGGGACCAAAATTGCTTTGGTGGCAGGAGTGTTTATTCTATGGTAGATGCGACAATTTGTTTCCAGATAATAGATACTGAGTGCATCAAAAGCAAAATGTTATGGGAAAAGACTAGGCTGAAAAATGGCCGATCAGCATCGGTATGTTCGTTCTATCATCCACCAGGGAGTAAGAGTAACGTTCTTGAGAAACTTACCAATGCAATTGAAAAAGTTGACAGTGATTACTTATTTATTTGTGGAGATTTCAATCTTCCAGACATGGTCACAGGCAGATCCCAATTCTAGTGCTTGCAGCCAGTCAAGCAAAGAACTGCTAAGGCCATGTAGCCTCTTTGGGTTAGCACAGCTTGTTCTGGAGGCCACAAGAGCAACAAATGTTTTAAATTTGCTTTTTACCAATGCCCCTGAGCCGGCGCGATCAACACTAGTGCTGCCGAGCATAAGCGACTATGACGCTGTCCTGTGTGATATGAATTACAATACGTCAAAATTCTGAACGGTGACGCCCGTCGA